ATCTCTCAAAGTCTTCACACGTTGGCGGAAATGGAGCCATCCACATTTGGGAAGTCCATCTATGGGCAGCAAAGGTCTCCAGAGATACTACCTTGCTGCAGCTCTTGGATGGAACAGGATGTGAGCACAGCATGGCACTGGGCCAAAGCAGATCCCTGTGATGCTTTCTGCTGGGTGCAAAGCAAGACAACAGACTCATGGCCACTTGGGGAGCAGAGCACTGTGGAAGGACTAGCAGCCAGTCCGAGCAGCATGGGGCCCATGGCCCCACAGTATAAGCAGTGACCAGTCCCAGGGCTGCTGGTGGCTTACCACAGAGATCTATCCCTCAGAATGGTACAGTGACACAGGGCTGTGACACAGACGGAAGGGAATTGCTCTGAGAACATGCATTTTGAGGAGCTGTTGCGAAGAGACATTTAGCAAATGGCAATTGAAGACCAGACCTCCAACAAACTCAGATAAATAAAATAGAAGTAGTTATAAGTATATGTTCCTGCTGTGTGAAATAAAAACACCAAGCCTGCAGTCTTCAAATAAATACAAGCACCTGTATAGGCTTAGTTCTTGAATTTACCAAAAGGTTCATGTAGTGCCTTATCATCCCAACTACAAATACTTGCATTCAGGGAAAACGTAAGTGGCTCTCATTTTGAAAGTCATCTGGCACTGCCAAGCATTATCTTTTTTTTATATTGTATTAAACTCTTATACTATATCCTAAAAATGTGTCTGAGAGCTAGATGTTCTTCATTTATGCCAGCATTTCACTCAAGAATAAAATAAACGGTGGAGGGGGACACACAAGGAAGGGAAAGTTTGTGGTCTACTTTTGCTAATGATACCTAGTTTTGTAATTATTAAAAGCATCACAGACCTTAGACAGCTGCTGACATACAGAAAATAATGTCCTTGAAACTGTTTGTTTCATCATATTTTAAGAATTAATACCTTAGGTCATGTTAATCAGTTTATGATATATGTAGTTTTCAAAATGCACTTCAGGGAAGAAAATGCTGGAAATGACTAATAAAGACATGAACTTTATTCATTGTATGTCTAACTCCAAATGTGAACATTACCAAAGCACTTTGCCATCTGAAGTATTTAGGAAGCCTTAAATAAAAAATAAATCCACTTCATTCAGTGAAATAGAACATCCTCTTTTTCCAAGCAAAAGAGTTCAAATTTATTAATTTTGGGGCCATATTTTAAAATGAGTGTCAGCCCCTGCTAGATGACTACATGATAAGTGTCCTGAAACTTCAGGAAAAGGCACTAAATTTTTCACAGCATTTGTGTTTCATTTTCAGTGTAATAAAAATATGGTGCCCTTTTAATAATGAATAATAGATTTCCTGGTATGATTTACATGAGTGGATTAAATGTCATGTTTGAAAAGTTGCTGTTTTATTCATATTGAATTTCCCTCAAGTAAAACAAAATGGTATCCAGCTACTGTTATAATATTGCTAGTACCTCGCCACACTGATACATAAATATTAACCAGTTGATATACTTTTTAAAAATCTTCAGTTCTGTGAACTGTTCTGTCAGCAATGATGTCTTTTCATGCATATGAACAGATTTAGTACTATCTCAAGTTCCAGGTACATTGGGAAAAATGTGTAGCACCAGTGCTCACATACTTCTGGCCCTCACACTCTTTTTGCTAAAGTACCAGTTTTGAAAGGCTCTCACAGAATAAGGACTAATGCCAAATGGGTGCAACTGGACCAGGATTAAAAAGCAGTTTGGGTTAGCCCAACACTGACAAAATTGTCCCTATTTCTGCTCAGCAGTGCTGGACTGACTTCCGAGGTGTCTGGACAGCATAACGAATACTTTTTAAATGTCACTTGCAGGTAACCTCATTGACTTGTGGTGCTCTTTGCAACAGCTGAAAATTTCCTATCTGAACTTCCCATTCTGAACACTTTCTAACAGGCAATATTTTTTCTTGAAAAGTGCTTCAGAAATGTTTATAATTTGTTGCAAAGAAAGAGGAAATAAGAACATCTTCCTTAAAGGTTCCTTCCCTGTAGGCAAAGTTGGCAATGTACCAGAAAATATTTTGGTCCCAATAATTGAAATTATAGCTGAAAACATTTTTTTTAAAGAAGAGAAGCTTTTTTGCCACATTCCAACTTTTGTTCCATTGAAGTCAATGAATATTTTGACTCTGAAAAGTGAGGTTTTGTTCTTATTGTTGTAACTGTTTCATAGAACAATTTTAATGTCTACTGAACTAACCTAAGAAAAGATGGCAAAATAAAACCTCAATCACTTTCTTTTTCTGTGTAAAATTATACTTTTGCATACTGGAACTCATTTGTGCTCTTCAAGTCATCATTAAGCTGAAAAATGCAATCTGGACTTGCTAACACTTGAACATAATCCTATGGAGTAAAACAGTGCTTTAAATACACTGTGAAAAAAAATGTTTACTGACTACTTAGGTCTTATCTATAATAGTATCTTAGCCACCATGAAACAGCAATAAGGAAGTTATACTAGCAAAATCCTTGTTCTAGGTAAAGATGATACAGTCACACAGACTTTACCTATCAAAGCCTAAAGTCCACTTGCATAAACTAAATATATGAAAATATCCTATAAATGATGAGTCTAAAACAAGTCCCATTCAGATTATGCCGTTTGTTGCTATTTCTAAAATGGTAAACAGTCATTTGAAACAGCAATTGCGTTTTATCACAATCCAAAGCATTCATACAAGTTTCATTTAGCATAATTTAAATTAAAAAAATTACTCGTTTGGCTGTCTGGCCTTACTGAAAGACAAATAAAATTCAACTGCAGCTATTAGGAGCCACTGTCTAGTAAGTAGTCAGAGGTTATTGGGGAAGTAGGTTGACAAACTAAAAGGGAGGACAATGAAGGAGTGGAAAGAAGGGAAACTGGCAAGCTGGAGCAAAGAACATTGATTAATGAACAGAAAACATTTTTGAAAGGTCGGGTGTGCAAGTCAGACTAGCCCTGAGGCAGATCTAACTTACATGACCAGCACTTTCTGTACGCAGCAGGTAACCCACGCTGACACCAACTTTGCCGACATGACAGGGTTATTATTTTTGGAAGGATGTAGTGTTCTGGAACAATTTCTCTAATATATTACTTAAAATTAAGCTTTCCTTCAATATCAAGCATGCATGTCTTCGTTTTCACCATGTTTACACTGAACTCCTATCATTATTCTGGCCAATGAAAACAGAAGCGTATTCTGCATTTGCGAACACTTCTATTTCCCACCCCATAATATATCCCAGGGTAGTAGTGTTGTGTCCAAACCCAGATGCTCATGTGAAGCTCACCATTAAGATGTCACTACTTACCCCAAGTTTTCTGGTAGATGTTAACCATCTGAAGCCTAAAATTTGCCTCATCTCAGCACAGACCCCAAGGGTTTCTTCTGAAACATATCTTAAGGTTGTGCACCAATACCGAGGTGGAAGAACAGAAAGGTAGAGTCATCCAGGGTACAATACATCCCATGTCTTCAAAATGAGCTGGTGGAGAAGGTTCTCTAATATTATGACATTAAGTTTTTGCTGTCCATTATAGAATTCTGAAGACAGGGAATTATCAGAAGGTCATTTAATCCAAGTTCTCCTGGTCCTGTATTTTAAGTGAACTTGCCTGCGACCTGCATGCTGGTTCACTAGACTAAAATTGAAGTTTAGTGAAGATGCTAATCAAATGTCCCCTGTGAGACCCAAGAGAACTTTAAAGCAAACTTGCAAATGCAAGAAGCAGCAAAGACCTAGGAGAAACATGATGTTGAAAGTAAGCAGATTATGCTGGAGTCATTCAGTCATACTGTCCAGTCTTCTCCTTTCAAGACAATACATAATCTCCACGGAAAGTAACCAGGATGCACACATCCTGCCTAGGAAGGAATCACAGTTCAGTGATTTCTCTGACAGATGCATATATTTGTTTTAACATCATGTGAAAGTCACATTCACAGTTTCCCCCCCATATATGTGATTCCTTTCACACCAATAGCTGTATTACAGACACTGTTCACTATCTATTACAGGTGATAAACAATTAAAAAGTAGAAAATGTGACTTAGTAACACTTTATAAGTCACAAACTCAACATCTGAAATTACCTATCCACAAGTAACTGAAAGCATCAGTGGCGTACATAAAGGTTTGCTATCCCAAAGCTCTTTGGGATAAGGACTACCCGTCTGTTCTGTATCCATGCAACACTTTGGACAACAGAAGGTTTGGAGGAGGAAAACTACCATTCAGGTCATACCACAAAATAAATGATTGAAAGCAGAAAAAACTAGTCATTCTACCAATGTCTCATAACACACACAAAAAAACCCCACCGCACTGAGAGAGATGAAGATTGTTTTTCAAACCGTAAAGAAAAGCTTTCACGTGCCAGAGGGTTTATCTGAGACCAATGTTTCAACCAGCACTAGGCATTAGCTACAACAGTGAGCAACTGACACACAACAATCCTGCCATGCACAGCATGCTCAGGCAGGAAAATATGTGTGCCTCAGTCACAAAAGACAGAATAGAGCCTCAAGTGTTTGGGCTCCTTCCAAAATAATCCAAATGCTGCTTTTTTGGCAAATGGGGGTCAATGGAGCTAAAAACTCACAAAAGGATTTGGGCATTCATGTGTTTATATACACCCACTCGTTCATTTATTATTCTAAAGCTACTTTACAGAAATCAAATTACAAAGCTGACAAGCTGCATAGATAAGAGAGAATAAAAGTAAAACTTAAAATTAGCTGACAACACTATATGATGTAGCATATATTTGGCACTTTTAGAGTGAGTGATGAGGGTTAACCTAGGGGAAAAAAATTGCACCTTTCTAAATTGTACCTTAAAATATTAAATAAATTATTAACATGATGGAATGCATTAAATATATAAGCCTAAAGGAGAAAGAGCGGATGTGTTTTAACTTTCAAAGCAAAGACAGCATATTTATGAAGTGTTGCTTACTGTCTGGATACTTTGTCCAAAGTAGATTTCAGTGTTGTAGAAGTTTCCATCATGAGTAACAGGCTGCGTTGTCCTGGCCTGAGGCTGTTCCTTCAGTTCAGGTCTCTCCACTAAGCCACCACCTAAGCGGCTCAGAACACGAACTTTGAGAGTGTAGTGGCCTTTAGGGACCTTATCTTTGACTCCCCTCAGGCATTTGATGTGAATTTCTATTGACTGAGGCTTCTTGGAGTAGTCAACCTAGGGAGAAGGTTCCGAGTTACTAACATGGGCTGAGCTGACTTTAATCATACAATTAGCAAGAACAAATTTCTTCCAGAAAACAAACACTGAAAAACAGACAACACATTTCTTGTTCAACCTGCAATTACTTATTGCTAGCCAAGTATCTGCAATTAGGGAGGTCAAAAGTCATAGAGATGACAGATAAAAAAAGCAGTACAAATACTACCCATAAAATGTTGAGCATCCTTGGAGGGAAGGTAGAGCTGGTGAAGTATGACACCAGAAGATATTAGATGGCAATAATAAGGCAGAATTAACTGGAAGACAATACCTTCAAAAATATAGCATGTTTTGCAAGACAGGCACAATATTTGATGTGACGAGCAGGCCACAGGCTCAGAGTGAAAGACAGGGCAGGCCATGTTTTTGCACTAATTATTAGCCTTGCCAAAGCTATTAGTGCTGTGTAAGATGCAGACTATCCTTTTACCTTCTGATTATCATATAATCAGATTCTCTTAAAAATAGTAATCAAAGTGCAACACATGTAGAGTTTTATAACAACTCCCTAAAGGCACCTTTACTCCAAGTCCAGACAGAAGGAAACGTCTGCTGGTTGCTGTTGACAAGATGTTGTCTGAGTTACAGAATGTTTAACATGAAATAAATGCTGTGTACCAGAAATGCTTTTCTGGTGCTTTCCTTGTGTACTCAGCTTCTCAGTGTGGGGGTTGGCTGTGGGGAACAGACACGACTGTACAATCCTTACACAACCTTGCCTGAGTAATGATGTAAGGTTTGTCCCACTACACCAGAAGATACTTCAGTGCTGCCCAAATGCAGGGATAAGGCACACAACAGGGAGTCCCAGTTAGGCTCCAGTGTTGACTTGAATGGATAAAATTGTTTCTACAGTAACTAATTATTTAGTGCTTAAAATCAGCAATGCTATTCCTCTTTTCCCCAAGAAATCAATTTCTTCTATTATTTGGAAAAAAAGACTAGTGATAGATGTCTTTTTTTTTCAATTGGTTATAAGAACCCACACTTCAGAATCACATGGCTACCTTGGCTACTTGGTTTAGTGGTCTCACAGTTTAAGCCTGCAGTAGCTAATAATCTCTTCTTTAATCCTGTCTTGGATTTATTTTGGAAGAGATAGCATATTTCCATATAGATAGAAAGCTTCTGGAATTAAATTAAGCAGTTAAATAAACAGCTGAATTTGTTAAACTTCTTTTGTTTCTCAACACAAACCATACTTAACAATTAATCTGAATGACAATAATTTTCAGCTTAATTAGAAAATCTTAATTAACAATGAAGATTTAACCTTAATATTTTTGGTTTCTGAATCATATATAAAAAAAATTAACATTATGTGAATAAATAAGACAATCTTTTTAAACCTCAAGGCAGGATTACTGATGCAGGCAGCCTTCGTTATTAAACACATTCTAAATTAAACGCCTCTATGAATTTTATACTGAAATATATTGTGATAGTTTTGCATGCCAAATGTGACATTTTGTATTTTAGATTCATCTTCTGTAGTAATTTTGGAAATGTCATACAAACAAAGATTTTGTCATTTACCAATGGAATTACTATGCATGGCCGGTTAGCCATCTCTTTTCTGGCTCTTCTGGTTGTTTCAAGTCAGCAAGCCATAAAAAATCTTTATCTCTCTGAAACACAGCAATTTGGAAGATAATCGAATAGTGACTGGGGGGCAGAAACGCCAGTCTGAGGAATTATACCACAATCTCTCTTGCATTTACAACCTTCCTCAAAGCGAGTGTCAGTCGAATAGGAAAAGGAGATAGAAGATTCATCATATTTCAAGCCTGTCTCATTTGCATGGTGGCATAGCTGTCTCATCTCCTGCTGAAAGACTTTGCTTGGCCAGCACTGACAAACTGTTTTGAAGAACTCTTGCCATGCCCAAATGATTCATCATTAATAGCTTTAGACATTCTCTTTAAGCATATGGTTACTTTTGCTGGAAAGCACATTTTGAAACCCACTAAATTCTATCCTCTTAAACTATGAAAAGAGAAATAAAAAAAAAAAAAAGGGAAAGAAAAAAGCAGTACAATTGATCCAGTCATTTAGCAGTTCACGTTAGGGAAAAGAGCACTCATGGAGAACCTCACCTTCTCACAAGGCCCTGCTGCTGCTCCATTTAATCCAATATTCACACTTGCAAGGTTACCAAAGCTGGCTATCATTTCTTCTTCCTTTTCATTCTCTTCTGTTTTCACTGGCTGACTTCCCAATCTGCAGAAGTCAGAACGAGAAGAAGAACAAAAAAGAAATGAACTACAATGCATACACAGAAAGCACTTGCTGTTGGAAATACATCAGTTTGATGTTTTCCTTGAACATTTCCTAAGACTTGCAGGGCACTCAGAAGAAACAACAGTTTGCTAAAGCAGAGAAATGGCTAGGCTTCAAAAAGCAGCATAAAAAAATAACAAGACCAATATTTGTCAGTCTGTGCCACAGGTTGACATAAGGAACCTGAAGTTTCAATGCCTGTCTACAATCAGCTCTGTCTGGCATTGGGGCTCAGGATCTAGGCTGAGAATATTAAAGTAGGAAGCCATTGCTTCTGCTGACACTTTGAGGACTGATTGACAGCTTCAATAAACTTGGACAGGTTTTTGGAAACCATTGAGTCCTTGGGGACTTGATGGCTTTAAACCACAGAAAAAAAAATAATTATATATATAAAATCTTACTTTTTTTGTTTGTTTTTCCCACCCAAAAAAATCTTATATATTTATATCTAAATCTTATGTCATTTAGAAATCTTCAAAAATATCTTATTTAATAGATAGAAAAATTAAATATATAAATTATACATCATATATATACACTTATATGCACATGTACAAATTTTCAGCTGTATGTGAACCACTAAACCTTCCTTGTCATTCATGTGTTAACTTCTTGTGTATTTAAAGTGATTTGGAGGGTAATTATACCAACTCAAAGTTGTTGGGTTTTTTTGGTTTTTTTTTCAAGAGTGATCCGTGTAGCAACACAGAATGCCAGCAAATACAGCAAGAATAGCCCTACACTTCCAATACTACCCTGCTTAGTGCACAGGATACACAAAAGGCACAGTACCCTATGGAGAAAATCTTGTTCCCAGAACACAGCAGGAGCAAATGTAAAACTAAGACATTCACAAAAAGCACTATAAAACTGTATGGTTTGGCAATCCCATCCCATCCATCAACAGGCACAGAACCATGAGTAATTCCTCTGTCCCTACATGGCATCAGTATCTTAATATTGTTGACCCTAAGTAAAAACATCTGTAGATGTTCTGCTGGCTTCAAAACACATCAGCTCTTGCTTCTACAACATGCTTTAAGAGGCCAGGGAGGGTCAGCTGGTCGTGCCAGTGCTGGTGATGCTCCAGCCACACTTGCAGGTGGAGGCGGGGCAGGCACAGAGAAGGACATCGTGGGTCTCAGGAGCTGGAGGCTGAGCAGGCTGTTCATGGCTGAGGGTCAGCCACATGTCATGCTGCAGGTCAAGGGAGTTGCCTGCAGCATACTGAGAGGGGTCATATGGAGCCAAGGAGAAATCACTGCATCAGGTAAGGTTGCAATGCAGTATTAGCTTGGGTATATACAACACAGGCATCAGAAAATAGGCTCTCTTAGGTTGCCAAGAAATGTACTGAGTTTTTAGCCACAAAAGAAAATGCTATAACCTGGTGTTCATTAAAAAAAAAAAAAAAAAAAAAAAAAAAAAAAGAATCAAGGCTCAAAAACATTTCCCTGGACTGCACTTCTGAAGCATTCCTGCAGCACTCCTTCAGTATCTTCTGACTTACTTTTGAAAAATTCGACAACAGTGTCTTCATTCCCATTTTCTTTCTTTGCATGCTAGGTGATGATCTGAGAAGCCTCCACATTTGTAAAAATTAACATTGTTCTTCATCAAGAAAATTACAGAGACTGTGCAATCACGATAAACATCCCAGAGTCATGCACATGTGCTAGTTAGGTAACACATTCTCCCCTTCTGAAACAGATGCTCCTATCTCCAAGATCCTGGCACATTGCTACAAATCAGTTTCTATTCTTCTCAGACCTTGCCTATTTCTTTTGCCTTTTTGTTTGTTTGTTTGTTTGTTTTTTAAATGTACACATTTACATCAGTAAAATTACCACTGGTTCATAGCAAAACTGCTTTCCAGATTTCTCTACCAGTAGAATTTTATCACATAAATGCCCAAGTAACAACTGAATCGGTCAGAAGGCCAGTGTAGATGCCAGTGACAATGAAGTATATGGAAATTTTGCCCAAGCCAGGACCGATGAGAAATAAGGACAAGATTCCAGCGCTAAGGACTGAATACAACAAGCACAGGGTCAACCACCTTTGAACTTTTGTTCTCGAGCTTCCATTAAGTCAATTTGGCTCTAGCTGTCCTAAAAGGATGTAACAGAAGGTGAATGAATGGCACTAGCTAATTCATAGACCTGAAACATCTGAGATATTAAAGCATTCTTCTTGAGGAGAGAAGTTGTTTGGAACTTTGTACTTACTTAGTTTCTCATGATGGAAATAATTTCACTTAATTTGGTTAGAGTTGCACTGACACAGGGGTTCATTAGGACACCCATTTGCTTGCAATTCAATTTAAAATTAAATACACTTTGTTGTTGATTTTATTACTTTTAAACTACTGTATCTATTGCCTTTATTAGCTGCTAATACACAATTATGAAGGTAAACAGTTTTCATTACTGAACATCAAACATTTAAATAACCGCATTTGATCTCTTTTAAAGTTGCACCATTTTTCTCCTTTCCTTCCTTTTGCTGGGTATTAGATTGAAGAGAATAATTTATTCAGCGAAGTTAGACCCTTTTTGTGCTCACCAGCCCACTCATCAGCTGTCACAGCAGAACATAGCTTCCTTTGCTCGATTCATGAGGGTTATTTATTTCCTCCATTCATTTCTTTACAGGAAATTTGATGCATGTATTTATCTGAAGGTCATATATAGCTTGATCACAAAAACTTTGCTCCAATTCCTATTTCCTTCACTCTCTGAAGGGTAATTCAGTGGCAAAGATCAAAAATGCTGGGAGAAGACATTTGGTCACCTTTTGAAGTGCACTGTATGTAGCACTTAAAAATTACAACCCAAGCTAAGTATCCAAAAATGGAGGTAACCCAAAACACAGACCTCTTTCAAATGCAGAGGCTTAATTTTTCTAGGCCTGAGGTCTTTCGTTTGGGAGAAGTTCTATTCATTAATATCTGTGAAGCACTGAAAGATCTTTAGAAGGAAAGCACAATAGATGGAAGCACAAAGTGGTTCTTATCTGACATACCTTTGAAGGAGTTCATGAATCCTGGCTCTCCACTTTTGTTTCTTGCGGTGAGAAACTTCCTTGTGGTGCTTTGAGTCCCACATGTCAAGAAGAAAAATTAAAAAAAAAACAAAACAACCACAGAGTTTGTTTCCAAATGTACAGAAAGAACATGGAAATAAAAGCCATAAATGTGAAATTTTCCAAAGCTTTGTCTCAGGTCTTCTGGTTGAAGGTTTTCAGAAGCAATGAGGAATTCTAGCAGCAGTAATTTTATTTCATTATTTTTTTCATAACTTTTTTCCATGTTTGCTGCATTATTTCCAAGAGATACTGAGCTCTCACCTTATTTTAAAAACTTTTCTCATACAATGTGTATTTCCACATGGTAGTGTTCTACAGTCCTTATTTTTACAACACCTAACCACATAGTCATACATAAGCATACATAACGTTTATGCATGTGCAAATGTGTCTGTACAGACACACCAAAATACAACACACAAAGCAGGTTTAGGCATAGACCAGAGAGCCCTCAACTTGCCTCAATTCACTCAAAATCTTGATGCCTTGTCTCATCAGGTTTGTTTTGAAATGCTTGGTAAGAGGGACTGACATTTTTGGAGGTTGCAATCTGTAGGAGGCTAACTCACGTATGCAGTCCACTGCCTCAACAGTTCTGAGCTCTCTAGCATGAAGCTGAAGGGCCTGAAGTTATTTTACCCTTGCACATCAAGCTCAAAAAGTCATTCCATCAAGAAGCCAGCATCCACACCTATTAAACTGTGTTCTCTGTGAAAAAACTCAAAATGATAACCATACTGAGGGCTGCCCACTCATGAAAACAAAATTCTTCTCCTTGATCTGAACAGTACAGAGATCTTGCTGAATATTCAAGAACATTTCTCATGTCTGGATCTTCTGCTGGTGTCCCTGAGATTGACATAAAACATAGATACAAACTACCAATACATGAGAAGGCTCCCTATTGTATACCCTATACAGTCATTTAAACAGTGTAAAATTATGCTCCACTTCTACTGTCACTGTGCCTCAAAGGTAAAAAATCATTTTGGTAGGGAGACAGTGTAATAGTCAATGGAGAAGAATTCCCCATCAGAGACTCCATTTATGACTGTTTAAGTCTCTCCTTTCTTCCAAATCTCTAAATTTTTTGACAAATTTGTGTCAGTTTTAAGGAAACTTGGGAATCTCTGCTGAAGACTAAGGCAAAGCATTCCACTTATTTCCAAAACTAAAATTGTCAGAATGTAAAGACAGACAAAAACAACAAAAGCTTGTGCATGTAACCCTTTTAATTTAATCCTGTAAAATTAAAGCAGAAACATCATGGTTGCCTTAGACAACAGTGGGATTTGTTGGTAGTCCCAGCAGAGATCCTCCGAGATGGATGCAATAAATCCTCCAGGTCAGGAATCACACATACGTGATTAAAAATGTGATGCAACCAAACTAGCTCAAAGCAAGACCTTTCACTTCTCCACATGGCAGTTGTGTCATGGACAATGTTTCCTCCACCACTGCTCCTCTGCTAGTGGGAACCAGGCCCTCCTGCTCCTGGACAACATTTGGCTGAAATTCACTAGAAGCCTCTGGAGCAGGGAGCAGGACCCATTCTTCTCCCATCCCTGCAAATGCTGGCACTGATTTTCTTTCCCCAGCCTGGTAAATGACCTCCTATGCCACTTTCTCAGGAAGGACTGGGAATTGGCTCTGCTCTGGAGCTCCGCTCCAGCAGAGCTGGTAGCTGCCTGGTTAGAGCCATCAGACCCACCTCGTGACACTTCCCACAGTCCAGTGGGGGCTGCAGTCATCAGGAAACATGTCAAGAGCAAGGACAGATTATTCCTATGCTCTCTCAGGTGTAGGGAACTCATCCTGGTGGCAGCAAAGACTAAGCAGCAAAGGCCACCACTTTCATCACCCCTGCGAGATGTAGGCACCAGGCTGCCATGGCTGGCACATTTGGTCTGACACCCAGCAACAGAGCTCAAAATCTCTGAGAAGGTTTAATGACAAAAAACACTGATGGAAAGATTTCATGTGTTTCCAGAGTTTGCTGGTAGATGGAAAGGGGTTTCAAGTTTTGGGCTGAGGTAGTTAAAGCTAAATTTCAGAAAGTGGGAGGAGGGCTTGGTTCACATTTTTTCTCCAGGATGCAACTCTTGGTGATGACTGTGGAAGCAATTTTTGAGGTGGCCACTTAATTAAGAAATAAGATTAAATAGAAAATTCACTTCATGTCTTCATGTAAAATATCAAGTAACCATAATATTGCAACAACATTCAGACATTACCAGACCAGGCTTACACTGAGACAGTAGTAGAGAAGGTTTTTTTAAAGAAAAATTGATTTTATTACCAGACTCCCACAGCTGTCCAATCCCCTTGTTTATCTTCCTAATCTTAATTAAATAATGAATATTCAAAAGAAAATATGAATCTGTATTAACTGAACTGTTTTCTGTCTCTGCCTCTGAAGTGGCAATGAGAGTATGATTTAAAACTATTTCTTCTGGATCTTAGTAAAATATTTGTCACAGTGTGTCATGATAATTTTTAAAAAGCTCTATCATCTACCTAATAAATTTTTTAAGTTTATTCAAATCTTATTGAACAGGAAAAGTGCAATGAGTCATGGTTAATATTTCTTTACCTATACCAAGAAAAAAAAATTTATCAAAAATTCAGTGCTTAGGGTCCTATTCAGAAAACCTCTATGAGTCTGTAATACATCTTCTACATGATTAAAAAAGCAGGAAACTTGCTTTTAAATGAATTATTCACCACCTTGAATAAATTTCCATCTTTCCTATTTGCAAAACCCCAAAGTCAGTTATGTAAATTTTAACCTACACTAATTACCTCAGGGGTGTGCAAGCTAAAGGAAAGTAGATGCAGTAGAAAAAAAAAAAAATCCCAGACATTTCCATCACCAGGAAGCAATTTAATAGAGGAAAAAATGTGTAAGTTTTCTAAAACAGAGCAGCCCATATAATTTTATTTTTTTTAAAATGTGTAATAGTCATTGCTGCAATATCCCTTGAATCAGAGATTTACTGGAATAAACCAAGTGCTTTTTCTCAATGGCATATACCATCGCACACATGGTAGAGTGCTTGTTTCTCATCATGACACTGGCATTGTCTAGACTGCAACAACAACCCATTGTTGACAATGGGCGTTCCCAACAAGAAGGCATGAAATGTGGTTTAGCTTCAAGTCTGTATAGACATTGAGGGCCCCTTCAGAAAATAATTGGCTAAAATCTGCGAACCACTGGATATCCTTCAGAGCTCATCCGGGATGTACTGGAAAAAGCAAGGCGTTGTTTGAAGGCAGAAGGGCTTAATCACAGCACCAATTCCTATTCTCCATCCTGATACCAGCCCCTGCTTTAGCTGTGAGCCCGCTCCTTCACACATCTTTCTCAGTTTCTTCGTATTCTCTCTTGAGGTCTAATTACACAAATGGCCTATCTACTGATTTCAAAGAGCATGATCAAGACCACTACTTGAAAAAGGTCTTTCAGTCTGGGCTCAGTCTAGACACACAGTGGTGTGTATTGTTTCTGCAGAGACAAGAACCTGACTCAATACCATTAATCAGTGCTGACTTGCCGTTTTCAGTATGAAACTACTTCACAAGTGGCAGAACTAGGTTGTAGAATACTTTTCAATTTGGAAAGAAAAATTAAACAAAACCCCACCCAAACACATCCTTTCCTCTTAAAAGAAAGACCACAAAATTCACCAAAGCTTTGAAGCAAAATCTAATTGGTTTTCTATTGTTTAGCAAAAATGGAGCATTTAGGGAAAATATTTGCACATACACATGCACACACGCACCCCTTTCTTGTCAGTCCTAGTACTGTTATTACAACCTTCTGGTGAGGTACTTGCCCCACTGCAATTTGAAACAGCCAGTGGAGCACTGGCCCTGATGAAATCCCACTCCCTGCAAGGAGTGCTGCGGGGATCCACCTTCCCACAAGTCCTCCTCACCAGGTCAGGGCATAGCAGAGGCAGCACTGAAACACCACCAGTGGGATCTCCAGCAGCCTTCCACTGTCCAGAGGGATCTCACATGCGGAAGATCCTGATGCTTCCCCTTCATTCCACTCCTTGAGATACCACACTGGTACATCACAGTGCAGGTAGTGCTGTCTTTTTAGCAGTAAAAAGATGCCCAGATAAAAGCTTTTACCTAGAATTTTCATCTCTGCATCCTAGTATATTTTTCAGTGATGGAAATGCTGTCCACTCCATTTTTACAGATGGGATAAGCAAGAGCTTACCAAGCAAAGCTTCAGCAGAACTAGAAACAAAACCCATGTCTCTAGTCCCACTGGTGCCACCTAGTTCTCCCCCTTCACAGTCTGGCTGCTGCATGGAGATTTACTCCTAATGACTTCAATATCTAATGCACTGTATACCACAAAATAAATAAAAATGAAGAACCATTTCAGATGAGGAAAAAAAATATTGCAAGAAAAGTTGACATTCTTTTCAGGTAAAGTGAAATTTTGACAGACTTATCCTCTTCGTGTTAACTATAAGGAGATCATCTGGAAAGGAGGCAGTGAGTGGTAAATGGAATGAGTGCCCTTCATTGAAAATAATGAGTCAATAGCTGCATAGACGTGCTCTGAAAATTGCACTACCCATTCCCTGTTGGAATTTGTGTGACCTTGTCATGGAGATGGCCACAAACCCGAAGGTAAACTTGTGCTAAAGCCTGGACATATGGTAGTATTATTGATGTGCACTCTGCCAAAAAATGTGCCATAAACTTTCAAACATGTTCTTTAAAAGGAAAGAAAAATCAACACAGAAAACCCCCCATGACTTTTGTTCCAAATAGAAAATTAATTTACTGTTCGTAAGAACAAAATTAAAAACTTAGACAATAGAGCATTTTATAACAGAACTCAAACCCACTTTTAAATTTGATACTGCAGAACACAAAATGAGATTTACTTTATTCATGCTACAGCCTTATTATACTGAGTAATACAGATAGATTTAGTGACAACTAAATGATGATTTTGATAAATTTGTAAAGCACT